TTAAAAAACTGTCGATTTGGTTATTCAAATATTCTTGCATCATTAAATATATGTATCCTAAAATTCACTTAATTTAAAGAATTTTAACAATATTAAATCCTCTTTCAAAAATTACAATTACTAAATTGTTCTATTTCAATTGAAATAACTAAATCTCGATCTAAGAGGAGCAGTGTTAACTATCACACTTTCTACAATACAACAATAACAATATAGAAAATAAATGCAAAATTCTAGTTAGTAAATTAAATTTACCAATAAAATGATTTAATTCTTATTTTGTAGGCTTTCTACTTTTTTTTAATTTGTGAATTGTGGATATAACAGTATTGGATTCTCAAATATAAAGATTTAAAACATATCAAAATATTGTGCGATGACAGAATTTAAATTCGAACACAATGCAGTAAAATTTTTATATACAATTATTTTTTTAAATGATTTATTAAAATAATTGTTATAAGAAACTATTGGATTTGTTAGAGTGATAGCAACACAGTTTCAAGAAATTTTTTGGATAATACGCAAACAAATTTTAATTATTTTTTTTATTTTTTATTTTGTTTTTTTTTTTTTAATTAAATTGTTATTATTCAATACAGTAATTATGGAATCAAACAAATTGAAAACAATAAAAGACGATAATTATTCCACAAGAATCAGGTGAAAAACAACATTTTTCTCTCTCAAAACTAGTTAATTTTTATATGATTTCCATATATCGATTAAAGAAGCGATCAAGCAATTAGTTCCAGATGTTATCAATGAATATTCCATTTGTCCAAAACTATTACAAAATTAATAATTAGAATTAAGCTTAAAGGTATAAAACCTAAAAAATCTTGTTAGTAATGAAAATTTGTTATTTAAACTTACATATCGAATCACGTATGATAAAATGTGAATAAAATATTTGAAATTATTTGATCAAATTAATTAAAATTTTGATCAAATACAAATATTTGATTCAAAATTTGATTTGTTTTGCGAAGTACTAAAATTATTTGACTACTTACTATAATATTTGGCAAATTCAGATTATAAATTTGGCTCTAAAGAGAAACACATCTTTAGAAGCCATTGAAGAAGGGATATGTATCACTTCACCGATGTTAGTTTCGTAGACATAACATTTTACCGACAAAAATTCACCGAATGTCTATTTCACCAAAAATTTTTTCGTAGACAAGTTTATTTCATTAGACAGTTTATTTCATATAAATTCTATTAACCTTAACTCTAATTCTAACCTCACACCCTAATGCAGGGATGGTAAATGACCTTCAAATAACCTTCAAATAACCTCAAATGACCTCAAACCCAATTTTATTATGAATTTTAGTCCGAAATGACCTAGGTCATTTGAAAAAAAGGCAAATAACCTCTAATTTTACCATCCCTGCCCTAACAACAATGACCAGGATTATTTTGTCAGTAAAATAAGTTTTGGTGAAATAAACTGTCGGTGAAATGGAAAATAAATATCGTTGAAATAATTTCGGTGAATTGTTGTCGGTGAAATGTTATTTCTACGAAACGAGCATCGGTGAAGTGAGCTAATTGAAGAAGACGTATTGTTTAAGTGAATGAAAATAAATTTTAAGTGCATAATCTTAAATGGTACCCATATGAATCTCAAATAATTGAAACAGCATGTAAAATTCGTGCTGCAAATTTTATTTGCATGTGGACGTATTTAGCTTTGGCATTAATAAGTGTCATTATTGATATTAGTTTCGGATTTTATAATAGTACAAGAAAGAGCAGTATTCATAAAGAAAACATCAGTTATCCAAAATTTGCAAATATATATAATTATTAAATTATTATACAAATTTAATTTCGAATTGAAGCATATCATTAGTACTTTAAATGCTCGTGTCAAAAATTTTAATATTTAAGATATTACGCAAGTTGTTTACAAATTAATTCTTTTTTTTTTTTTTTTTTTAAAGAGTGAGGCCTGGCCTCGGTCTTTATTAAATAATTATGTGTTACAATACTTAAATTATATTACATAGATTATTACATGGACCTACAGCTAGGACTACTTTATCCTTGGCCCAAAGCTCTGCTAGAGTAGACTGGGCTAACCGGCCTCTTCTAGATTTGGTGAAGCAATGAATGACGTAGAAATGTTAGTAAATAGGAATATATGTGCCCACGCCCTGAGTGTAATTAGATTTTAAAAATCTTTTATCTTCGTGTAGTGAATTCCTATTGAAAAATTATGTGTAAAAGCACAATTCTATTAAATAATTGTTCTACACTGCACCATATAAGTGCATTTTTCCGAGTGATAATTCGGGTTTTAACCATTTCGCATATTCTTATCATTGAATATTGTAACTAAAAACGATTGAACTGCAATTGACAGTTTACATGAGCAAGTTAAATATGTTAAATATTTAAATGGAATTAGAAATAACATTAATCATTATTTTTTATCATTAATAACTGAATGTAATATTCAAATAGTGATCGAATCCGATGAAAAATAAAAGTAAGACTTTAAAACTCTTCAGCCGAGTCAAAAATCATATATTTGGGACGCTTTACAAATAAATAAAATTATTTACAAGTTTATTAATATATTATTGGACTATTTATACTGATATTATTGGACTATTTATACTGCACAATGCTCTAGATTATTGATTGAAATAGTATTGAAAGACTTTTAAGTAATTTTTGTTTTCTTGTTTTATATTTGCATTTTAAGTTTTTGGATTTGAATTGTATTCTTAGCCTTTCGGACTGTAACTTATAACGTGCTTTTTCAGATTCTGGCAGTTTATTCTATTTATTTCCAGAAATTTTTAGATTTGATGGGCGTCTATATTTGGATTATCTTTAATTTTTTCTTTTCGATATAACATAAAGGCGTTTAATGGACGTTTAATAGGATCAAAGATCAATGCCGGAACACGTATATTTAGTTCTGAGAATTCCTTGATTGTTTTCAATTTTTTTGTAGCATCTTCACTAATAAGAAACAGAGAGTATCCTTGTTGAATAAAAACGAATATTCCTTTTTTTACGTTCAATATTTGAAATCCATCAGATTCTTCAATCGAAACAAAATTATTGGGATTCATTTTATATAAGTTTATATTTACTTTTAAAAAAATGCTTATTAATAGTTTCGGATGTATTGTTTAATATAGAATTAGTATAAATTGTATTGTTATCACTTCCTTTAATATTTTCTTATCATACGCTTTCTAGAATAAAAAATAAACTTGTTTTGCTTTCAAAGCTTTATATAATAAAAGTCTAATTTAAAATTTCATTAACAAATTCCATTAAGTTTATGATAATGTATTGTCTGGGCAAATTAGCAGAAGAAATGGTTTAAGATACTTCATATATCACTTTTTGATATAACATTTATTATATATTTATTTCACTCGTTTTTTTTATTGAACTAGCGCCACACATCTTGTTCAGTAATTTAAGAATAAAAATTAATTATTCTTATTACTAATTAATAGGTTTTATACTTAATGGCTAAACTGTCTCTTTTCTATTGACACTCCCCCACAGCCAGTCATGGACATGGGATATTGTTCGGAACATAGGACACTGTCCGGGACTGTCCACGTCTCTGCAATTTTAACGAGACAATGTCCGCGTACAACACTGCCCCTCATATATTGTTTATGCTATCAGGTGATGGATTGTTGAATCGAATGATTTCTCAGATTCTAATTGATAGATCAAGTGTTATCTTCAATATAATTCAATCCGCAAAATTTACCCACCATATACCTTATAATAATAAGGGAAAAAATAAATAAAAGGTATCTTTTATTTGCTAGAAATATGTGTAAAAATAAAAAGAAATACAAATACATAAGCCATCATGTATATCTTTCAAATTTTTTTCAAATGTAATTTTGTAATTGTGTTTAAAAATTGATGAGCATCATATTTCCACCAAAGTTGGAATTCCATTAATTAAAATTTTTTTTCAATTGTGATTGCGACAAACAATTGAAAACTTGTTGAACAGTACAGTATATGAACTAATTAAAATTAAACTTTAATTACTGACAATTTTTAAATTTGGCAATTCATGTTTTAAAATCGTGATCGAGGAAAAGAAAAATTCGTTTAGTGAAGCATCTTCATTCTTTAATAGTCTCAAATTAATACTGAATTTATAACTAGTTAAGAAATTATTAATTCTAATTGCCACATTTGATAATAATCATGAATGAATGTGATATCTCTATTTTTTTCTTTTATAAATCTTACAAATGATTCCTGCTTACTATTATTGTCTTTTAATGAATTTTTAGACTTTATGTAATAATAGTAAAACTTTTCTTTAAGAAAATCAATAATAGTATTTTCATTTTTTGTCCAACAAAAGAATGTATTATTTGATGCAAAATTTTTTTCAAAGTTTTCAAATTTCTTATTGACCAGATTTTCTATATTTGCGTCACAGACAAATACAATTGTATTTTTTTCATAGGAGAGTAACATATTATTAATGATGTGAACATCTTCGTCATTAAATGTTGCATAATTCCAGAGGATAAGATGACAGAAAAACTCGTGTTTAGTGATTTTAACAATTGAATATCATTAGCAAAATTTTTAAGCAGATATATATCGATATATAGCAGTTAATCGATATATATCGATTAAAAATTATCGAT